CTAATTTGCTTGCTTAAAAACGAAATAAAATTAGTTGCTAAAACTTTTAGTTGTGAAACATTATTATAACAGATGTGTTTTTTTTACGGTAATATCAGAATATTTGCTTATTTATCCAAACGGGCCGATATAATTCAGGAAGTGAGCTGAATTTGGAACTATTGGGCCTAGGCTTTGTTAAGCATTTAATATCGGCCCGTTTGGATACAGTCCACATCCCAAAAAATGATGCATCTTTTAGGTGAAGAAACGCGCCAACTCCGCAAAATCCCTAAAATCCGAAATTTGTTTTCAATCCCTAGAGAGAGATTCTGGATTCTCGATTCTTTCAGTCTTATCGGAATCCATGGAGGACTGATCGTGATCTAATGTCAATCTCCGGAATTTTTTTTCAAAGGTTAGTCTTTTTCTTTAACAATCTAATAAAAGTCCCACACTTGCGTTTTTCTCTTCTATCATTTCTGAATCTCTCTGGGCTTTAATGTTCAATCACGCGAAATCGTTATGCGTTAATCCTTTTGGGTTTTTCAAATTTAAGTTTTTTTCTTTCCTTTTTTCGATTTTGAGGTGAATTCGCTGGTTGATGATTTGATTTGATTTCTTGTATCGAATTTGGAGGCTTAGTTTTTGAGATCGTGTTACATAATCTTAATCATTGTCTAGTATAAAGTCTCTGTCTTGTGCCACAGTATGTATGTAATTAGTTTGTTGGATCTCTTGTGATAAGTATGGTTGGTTTTCTTGTTACAAGTCTTTGATTCTCTCAGAGGCTAATGGATATTGAAGATAATCAACAATCAAAGCAAGAGCGATCGAGAAGGAGATGGACTCCGTCTCAGGACAAGGTTTTAGCTGATTTGGTTGTTAAACAGATTCAATTAGGAAACAGACAGAACAATGTGTTTGATAGAAAAACATGGAATAAAATAAGGGATGAATTCAACGGGCAAACGAAGCTTAACTACAACAATAATCAGTTGAGGAAACATCTTGATGTTCTGAGACAACGTTATAATACGCTCAAATCGTCCCGTGTTGAGAACGAGTTTGTTATCGAGGAAGATGCAGGATGTATCTTGGGGTTTGACTTGTGGGAAGATCTCGGTGTAAGTCGGTTTTGTACTCTTTAGGTTCAAGGAGTTTTTGTTGTTTTTGTTGACAAGAATGCTGATTTTCACTTAATGGTCACAGGTGCAGCCTAGGAGTGAACCGGTTAAAGTTAAGGAATGTCTCATCTATGAGCAGCTTTGCACTATATTTGCTGATGATTCTGCTAATGGTAAATATGCTCAGTCAAGTCATTTTGAAGGATTAGAAGAATCCGTGGCAAATCAAACCTCGGGTTTGGCCACATCTCCTACCAAAGGGACCACGGCATCAGAGAATTTATCAACACCGAATGTAACAGAAGTGAACCTGAATGTGGTGGAGAGAAAAAGGAAGAGAGAACCAGAGTCTTCAGGCCCGAGCCAGATTGATCCAGCATCACTGGAAACCATGGCAGGTGCTTTGTCAGACATGGTGAGTGTATTGAGATCAAGGATGGCTGATTCGAATACGCAAGATGACAGATTTAGTATCACGAACTGCATCAATGTGCTTGACGAGTTTGAGAATGTAGATGAAAGCGTCTACTTTGCAGCTTTAGACCTTTTTGAGAATCCCAGTATTAGAGAGACTTTCCTGTCTCTTAAAGGTAATAAGCTACGGTTGGCGTGGTTACAGGGTAAGTGCAGGATCTTTCTCCTTCAGTTGCATAGCTAGGTTGACTTCAAGCTATATATATGTAGCTAGCTAATTGTTGTTGCAAAGTAAACCAAATAGGTTTGGTCTTTTGTAGAACTTTTTTTGTGGTTGTTGATGATAAATAGTTTCAGAAGAACTTTTTAAGATGAAGATACAAGTTGGTCTGTTGTGTCATGTTTGTTCATTACAACAGAAGTAACATTTGATTGATCTATCGTTGGTTTTTAACTGTTACAATATCCAGGTCATGATTTCTCACATGTTTGGTGAACATAGCAAATATTGTACAATGTAGATACACAATGAAGAAATGTAAGAGGGGAGAAAAAGAGACTCGTTTGATATGTTATCTAGTGCAAGGTAATTTAGTCATCGTCCTTGAACTCCCTGTGACCAAAAGAACAAAAAGAGTTATGTCAGTGCAAAAAATAGAGTTGGCTCTGTTTCAGGTTATCTGATTCACGATGATCGTGTACCTTCGATCAAGGTATCGAGGTTGAACACCAGAGCCTTGACAAGTAGTGCAGGTTAAGGAACCAGCACCATCACAGTTGATGCAGCTCGAGACTTCCTTCTCGCCACCACCAAGCTCTACGGTAACATTACCACTTCCCACACACAATCTGCATTTCTCTGCTCCACACAAAAAAAAAAAAAAGCATTTCCTTCAGACCATAATGTTCATAAAACAGCTTCTAAGCATCACAAATCCGACCAAAATGCTTTAAAACTTGAAAGAGAGAAAAGAATCGATTCACATACGAGCTCCGGTTCCATTGCAGGGAAAACAAGGTTGAGTATTCTCTCGCTTAGCCTATGAATGTGTAAAACCGAAACAGTGTTAACTTCATTTCGATTCGGGGCATGGATTCGAGGACCTAAGAAACTAAGAATTGAATCTGAAAACTCACGGCATTGTCGATTTGAGTTTCGTAGAACACAGGGATTCCGATTCCTAATGCTACGCTTGCCAAACCAACAGAAATTGCGACTACCTATTACGAAAAAAAACCAAAATCGATCAAATCAGTTAAAACTTGTGTGAGAACAAAGTCGATATAGCCAGTGATTAGGTAATCGAACCGTGTTCGAATCAAGTTCCGATTTGATTCGTGGATAAGATGTTGCCGGCGACCGGAGATTCCTCGCCGAGAGAAAACGGAAAGAAGAAGATGGAGTGAAATTGATGGGACGGTGAATGAACGGAGAGTGAAGACGAGGCGGTGACGAAACTGATACTGGCATTGTGAAGGTAATGCAGAGAAACGCTAACGCGC